TCGGTGGGAAGGTAACAGCGTTCCGTGTCTAAGTCGCACTGGCCATGTGACTACGGGAGATTTTCTTCGGACAAAAACGCTGGCTCTATGGCTTGGAAACGGGGATGAGCACAGCCTCCTAGAGTCGAACACGACTGGACAAAAATTGTCAAGGGGAACCTTTACCTTTACTAAAATAACATTTGCCTTTTTTGTACCCACATCACACTGTTGGCTCATATTCAACTTGTGATCTACGATAATTCCAAGGTCCTTCTCGTTTGTACTATTACAGAGCCAGGAATCCCCATATCTTGTAACTGTGCGTGATCTACGATAATTCCAAGGTCCTTCTCGCTTGTACTATTACAGAGCCGAGAATCCCCATATCTTGTAACTGTGCATTTGATTTCTTTTCCCCAGATGCAGCGCTTTGCACTTATCCTTGCTGAGATTCATCCTGTTGTTTTCAGCCCAGTGCTCAAGCCTAACCAGATCATTTTGAATTTTGTTTCTGTCTTCCATGGTATTAGCTATTTCACCGAACGTTGTGTCATCCGCAAATTTGATTAGCATTCCCTGCACCCCCCAATCCAGGTCATTAATAAAAATGTTGAAGAACACAGGGCCCAGGACTAAGCCTTGGGGTACCCCACTTGGGGTTACCTCCTCCCAATTTGAGAAGGATTCATTAATCATCACCCTGTGAGTAAAATACTGTAGCCAACTGTGTAGCCACCTGACTACCTGTTCTATCCAGCCCACACCTAGTTAGCTTGTTAATCAGAATATCATGGGGCACTCTGTCAAAGGCTTTTCTGAAACCAAGATATACTACACCTACAGCATTCCCTCTGTCTATCAGGGAGGTTACCTGATTTTTTAAAAAACAAGATCAAATTAGTTTGGCAGGATTTGTTCTTGACAAATCCATGTTGGCTTCTAGTTAATACTGCATTGTTTTCAAGATGCTTGGACAACGACTGCTTTATGATATGCGCCCATAATTTTGCCTGGGATTGATGTCAGACTGACGGGCCTGTAGCTCCCAGGTTCCTCCTTTCTGCCCTTTTTGAAGAGAGGGACAACATTAGCTCTCCTACAATCATCTGACATCTTGCCCATTAATTAGACAAACACCTCACTCCATCCACTGTCTGGCCACGTGCTTTTGGGGATACCCCCTAACAGGCTGCAAAGACATTAACTTTTTATTGCTATTGCTTCCAAGCAGTTGAGCGTCACCGGTATACTGTATACTGTGGCCAGGATGGTTCTAATACAGTGAAGGGTGGAACAGTTCTTTGTTGTTTCTGTCACTCATTCGCACTTCTGTGTTGGACGGGATTGTGCAAATGTTGCCTGTTAATTTATACTTGGCTGGCTCTTCCCTGTTCGCGAGGACCAGATCAAAGAGAACTGACCACCTTGTTTCTTCCACCTTCTGGAAGATAAAGCTGTTAGCAAGGCAAGGAAGAACTTTCCATTCTTAATAGAACTGGACACTGCTAATACAGTGGTGCCTCGCATAGCTACGTTAATCAGTGCAGCAAAAATCGCTGCAAAGCGATTTCGTCGCTGTGCGATTTTAAAAAGCCCATAGCTTTTTGAAACCCCTTCAATGCATTCCTATGGGCTTAAAACTCACCTTAAAGCAAAGATCCTCCGTATGGCGGCGATTTTCACTGCTCGGTAAGCGAGGAATCCATTCCTAAACATGGCGGCCCGTGGTCTAGAGGGGCAGGGTACTTTTAACCCAGTGGCCATTTTGGAACTGCCGATCAGCTTGGGGAAAATCATCGCTTTGTAATAATCGGTAAACGAAACAGGTTACCGATCATCGCAAAGCGATTTTTCCCAATTTAAAACATTGCAATGTGATTGCAAAAAGTTCGACGGTATGCCCGTTAAGCGAGGCATCACTGTATACTGCAGAGATGTGTAACTTGTGGCCATTTAGGTGATATGAGACACCAAAACCCATCATTCCTCACCAGCAGCTAAGCAGGCTTAGTCTGATGGAGTTGCTCTAACAATAACAACTGCAGGGCCAGACATTCCTTACCCACCCACCCACAGCAAGATGCTCAGTGGGAACAATAACAACTGCAGGGCCAGACATTCCGTACCCACCCACCCACAGCAAGATGTTCAGTGGCTGTGGAGCCAGAGGTTGAGAGTTCGATTCCTGGCTGGGCCTCCTTGACACACTCTGGACTCAGTGATCCATAGGGTCCCTCCCAGCTCTGCAGTTTTAAGGTTATTACTTTTCTTTCTTTTTCCATACTTTTGTTATGTTACCTAGCATAACATTTAACCAATTTACACAGGGGAGAACACATCCGGAGGCCTAGAGAATGCGGAGGTGGTAAATGAGACTTCAGCTTTCAACGTGCATGAAATTATTCCTGCACGAGAGAAATTATATAAATGCCAGGAGTGTGGAAAGAGCTTCAGTCAACGATCACACCTTAACAGACACAAGCGGATTCACACGGGGGAGAAACCATATAAATGCCCGGACTGTGGAAAAAGCTTTGCTGAGAAAAGAAACTTCGTGGCCCACCAAACAATTCACACGGGACAGAAACCATATAAATGCCCAGAATGTGGGAAGAGGTTCAATCAGAGATCACATCTATATAGACACCAAATGATTCACACAGGGGAGAGACCATATAAATGCCAAGAGTGTGGGAAAGGCTTTATGGAGAAGAGGGACCTTATTGAACATCATATGCACCAAGCTCTAGACCGACCCTTTGAGTGCCACGAATGTGGGAAGAGCTTCAGCCGGAAATCGAGTTTTACGGCCCACAAACTGCTTCACACGGGCTTGAAACCTTACAAGTGCAAGGACTGTGGGAAAGAGTTTCGTTACAACTCGGTCCTTATCGCTCACCGGAGGAGTCACACAGGAGAGAAACCGTACAAATGTGTGGAATGTGGGAAGACCTTCAGTCAGAGGTCGTACCTCAAGCGACACCACGTCATGCATGTCATGGAGAAACCCCATAAATGCCCGCAGTGTGGGAAAAGCTTTCTTGAGGAGAAAAATCTCAACACTCATCTAACGAATCACACCAAGGAGAAACGCTATAAATGCCTGGAATGTGGGAAGGCCTTCGGTCAGAAAGGGACCCTCCGCTCCCACCTCTTGGTTCATACCGGAGAGAAGCCGTTCATATGCCTGGAGTGCGGGAGGAGCTTCAACCAGAGGCAAAACCTCAACAGACACCAAATTATTCATGGAGGGGTGAAACCATATAAATGCCTAGTGTGTGGGCAAAGTTTTACTGAGAAGAGAATCCTCATGTTGCATCAAAGGAATCACAATGGGGTTTAACTATATAAAGGCATGTGCTATAGGAAGTATTGTCTGTACCTTTGAGGGTGGGGGACCACACAGCCACCTCAGCTTCTTCATGGACTGTCTCTAGTGTAAAATTAAGGTGGATTCCACAAAAATGACATGTTTTTTTTCCTCTATGGAACTGCTTGGTGTATTTTGGAGGGAAATGTAGCCATTTCAGCTGGGTACTGGCCATGGGGTGGTGAAACTTTGCCTTCTCGGATTCCTGTAACAAAGGTGTCCCCAATGGAAATTTCTTTTGGATTTGCAAATTATGCAGATTATTCTTATTATTTTATAGAACACTCATTGCTGTTTTTATAAATGTTCAGTTATGGCGCCAGTGTAGAGACTCACAGATGACCAACCTTCTGCCTGAGTCTGTGAAGAGCTTTGTTCCATTAGCATCACCATGTCAAGCAATACTGCACGTAACACATTTTCATCCACAGAAGAGTCTTTAAAGGATTTTCCTATTTAACTTTTTTTCTAAAGCAATTGTGAGGGATGTGTGAAAGAAGAAAGGGAGTACGATACTGTCTCTGTGAATAAAAAGCATCAGCTAAAGAGGACTGTCGGAGAGACACAGAATTTTATTTCACTCACCTAGGCACAGGGCCTATCTTCTAGGCTGTCTTGGGCCTTGTTGTTGTTTAGTTGTTTAGCCGTGTCTGATTCTTCGTGACCCCATGGACCAGTCTTCCCGTCTTCCACTGCCTCCCGGAGTTTGGTTAAATTTATGTTGGTCGCTTCGATGACACTGTCCAGCCATCTCGTCCTCTGTCGTTCCCTTCTCCTCCTGCCTTTACACTTTCCCAACATCAGGATCTTTTCCAGGGTTTCTTCTTTTCTCATGAGATGGCCAAAGTATTGGAGTCTCAGCTTCAGGATCTGTCTTTCCAGTGAAGGACCTACTTGTACAAAAGTAGTCTTAAGCCTACTTGTACAAAAAAAGAAAGATGCCCTAGTGCTTCCAGAGAGCATAAGGTCTTTGTGGGAGGTATATACAGAGCATGATGGGCGACAAGACTGCATCTCCCACATAGATCTAAGACTCCCAGAAGCACTGGAGGAGTTTTATTTTTGTACAGGAAGTACGCTAAAGACAGCCTGGAAGGCAGGCCTTGCTCCAGGTGAGTGAAATGGCCATGTGGATGTGTGGGCAGGAACTCCTAAATTCTGCCTGGGAACTGAGTAGACATGGTCTAGAGGGGCGGGGTAAAAATCCAATAAATAAATAAAATAAAATAAACTGCTTGGAGAACTCTGGGAGCTTGAGTCCAAAACAAAGACAGCATATGGCGTACCCTTGAATACAGGTAGGATTAAGGTACATGTGGTGAATTATTTTGTGTCTATGGGGGGAAGGCTAAACTTATATTAACTGCAAACTTGATAGGAATTATCAGTGACAGATAGTGCCCTGAGAATGGTGTGGGTCAGATCAGAATACAAAAGGGGGACCCAAAACAAGAATGGGGTGGTGATGGGAATGGCTGCAACCCAGATAATGGTCAGAAAAGAAAAGGAAAAAAACAAGGCTGGATAGCTCTGGGAGTTCAATCCCCCCATTGTGCCTCCTGGAAGAAGAGACAGCCTCTTGGTGGCCTTGGGCAAGAAATATCCAGAAATATCCCCAGAAGAAGGGAAAGGGAAACCACTTCCGAGTATTTTCTGTCTGGAAAACCCTGAAAAGGGTCACCCTATGTCAGCATTGACTTGATGGCACTTGATTATTATATTTTTTTGAAGAAGGGTCACAGGCAGGACTTGCCGAAAGTTTGAGCTAACCTCCGACGTAAACAGAAAAAGCAACTAACTGCAGGTGGGAAGGGGCCTCTTGAACAACAGGTGAGCTAAGACTGCTCATATTTTGTCTGTTTTCAGAATCGTTTGGCTAAATGTAGGGGAGATCGATTAAAACAATAGCTCTTAAGGAATCTCAGAATGTCTTTGGTTTGGTACATGGTTTTTGGGATGGATGGCAACTTTCAAGTGCTCTGTCGTTTTTTTGATGTGAAAGTTGAACCAGGCTTCTGATCACCCCTGATCTGATTTGTGTGGGGAACTGTTCTTTTAAATAAACATTTTGTTTTTCACACAGCTTTGACTCCTGATTGTGCCTGGAAGGATCTTGGAGAACAGGCTGTGAAGCTAAGTAATAAGAAAAAAGAAATCCAGTAGGACCTTATTTGGCTGAGCCCGTATTTCTGCCAAGCCGTAAAGCAGATCTGGAATCTGCTTCCCAAAACATTTTCCATAAATTTCTTACCTTCCCCCCTCCCCAGAAAACCTCCCATTTTGAAATAACAAGCCAGCCCCGCTTTGGAATATTACCTTAGTAAAGGAAAAGCATTACCCCTGAATTCCTTTATCTTTAAATGACCAATTGACCAAGAGAATTTTGGTTTTAAGAGATTATTTTATTCGGTTGTTTTACTTGAGCTTTTAATGCAAGTACAGGAGCAGGTGACACTTTTAATCGATCATTTAAAGAATTCCTGTAAAAGAAACCAGCCAGCCACCCTGGATCCTTAGGAGAAAGGCAGCACAGAAGTATTTTAAAGAAATAAGTAAAGAAATAAAATGTATTTGCTGCCTTCCTAGTATAAGAAACCAAAAAGGGGCAGCAATGAATAAAACAACATGAGATATGAGGGGGAAAGATGTCCAAAGCCAATGGACTCTTAAAATATATCTGTGGGTTAAGTTCTAAGCATAGTTGCTTTTAAAAGTAGAGCTCTGCAGGGCTTTGGACTACAGTTCCCAGCTTCCCCGAGGGCTGACGGCCACCGGCTTTGCTGCCTGGGGCATTCTGGGAGTTGTGGTCAAAGCATGGCGTCGGGGGTGGGTGGGGGAGGAGGAGAGGAGCGGGCGGAGTGAGTTTCCTAGA